TCACTATTATCGAATTTGGAATGTAAAAAAGTCTGTACTATCGACTTTGATTAACTTCGACCGTCACTCCAGTATCCCCTTAAGGGATGCTTTTCACCAAACTCAGTTAACTTAATCAACCTAGTAACTGTAATGAAATAGAAAGAGATACAAATAGTTCTATCTCTTTCTATTTCATTACAGTTACTAGGTTAAGTAAACCGACGATGGTGAAAATGGCCCTAAGACTATCTTCGTCTTCTGATTCGTCGCGCTGATTGGATTATACTTTTAGATTTAAAGGAATAGTCCTATCTTAGCGAAGAATCACAAAACGGTTGCAAAACTACAAATAAGAATTTATTAATGCAATTTAATAATGAAAATCAAATTATATTGTGGAATCCTGAAAGTAAATAAAATATATTTTACTTCGATCGATTATAATTTACGATGAAGTACAATAAAGATTTTTTCGTCATGTTGCGTATAAAGTCCCGTTACTATACAGTGTAATAACTGTATAGTATTCTTTGATAAATCAATTTTGCAAAATATTTATCTTTAAATGTAATTATAATTAATTGAATATAATGTCTAACTTGATTGCATTCATTAGCATAAAACATTTAATATTAGAGGTTATTGACCTTGTTTACAAGAACTCTTGATACGCGTGTTAACTAGTAAGTGTCTATTAAATTATCTTAATTTCAGCAATGCATAAAGAATGGTGTACTACTCCCGTACAATATGTATCAAAATGATTAATTAAATTAGTCATATCATGTATATGTTTACATGTTTCGTTGAAATTAAGATAATATAATAGAAAGTTCACTAGCTAGTACATATATAAGTATATATAAGTGCATATAAGTACGTATAAGTGCTTGTTTTTTACGCTCCGCCATTTTCCTCTGGCTAGAGGTGTGTTCCGTATCGCGTTTTCAAGATGAAAACGAACACACCTAAAATATACTTCGTACCGTTCTGCGCATAATCAGATGCAGCCATTTTAAACATTTACATCACAATAACTTTGAAGTGACGTATTGTGGATATGAGTACGTGTCAAGTAAAAACGCTTACAAATAGTTTCCGAAAAAAAGGATGCAGAATGGCGTTATTCGTTAAGCCCATTCTACAATTGCGTAAGCGTAGTTGTAAGTGGTTGTAGGTGTAAGAATTAACCAATCATAATCAAACATAAGGAAAATATTTGACTGTGATTAGTCAATTCTTACAACTACAACCACTTACAACTACGCTTACGCAATTGTAGAATGGGCTTTACATTACTACTTGTTTTCGATAAGTAACGTGTAATGGTAATAATTTACTTTTCAAAGTGACTTTTTTTAGCGTAATTAGTCCTTAGCGTTTAGTTAGTCGTTACTACAGTCATAAAAAATTGCAACATTATTGTATCAAATTATTACTATAAAAAGTTGTTATTATAAAAACTGTAAAAGTAACGAAAAAGGAACTCTTCCATTTCTTGATAATTCGTACTCATTTGTGATTATCACTTCATGCACTTCCCTTGTTAGTTGTGTTATTCACATATTGATCTAATATATCACTTATTGTTGTAAACTAACTATACTCAAGTTAATAATAACAAAACCTCCGTGCATTTAAAAGTTAAGAGATTAATTTCAATCCATATGATTTGGGGGTAAAAAAGGGGAGTAATCGTCGACGACCTTAACCTTGATATATGTTGTCATGACCCTGAGTAACCTCCAACAAGTTTTAGCCGTCGCTCATTAAAAAGTTATTAACAAAAAAAGTTTGAAAAAACAAAGTTTTATTTTTGCTTAGGGGCGCACGACTTCCATACGACTGCACTCCCTCTTCCAAGAGATGGGAGTTGCTTCTCGTGAAAGTCGTGCGTCTCCAAACAGGGGGGAGATAGAGTGGGAGTCGCTCACATGGAAGTCGTGCGCCCCCAAGCAGGCGGGGAGAAAGGGTGAGAGTTGTTTTTGTGGAAAGTCATTGCATAAGCAAGGAAGAGTATAGGATAGTTTTTAATATTATATAAATATAGCAGAAAAATAAAACGTTATTTTTTCAAATTTTTTTATTAATAACTTTTTAACGAATAACGAGTGACGGCTAAAACTTGTTGGAGCTTGCTCAGGCTCATGACCTTAACAACATCAAGGTCAAGTTCAAGGTTGTCGGCGGTTGGTCCCTTTTTTCCGATTTGGGTGCTAAAAGAAAATTCTTTTGCTGGATTTTGTTGACTATTTAGATTTTTGCCACGATATGGCAAAGTAATGGAGTCACTTGTCGCTGGCAAACTAAAATCACATAAACATTATCAAACAATCATCGACGAGCATCGTGCTCGACCAGAGAAAACAGATAACTTCCTTGCGGCTTTCGACGATGCAATGAATACCGATGGGAATAGTGAACACTTCACACAACAGCAATTTTATCATCTACTAGCCGACCTTTATGGTGCAGGCGTTGATACTACTCTCGCAACTTTTCGTTGGTTCCTCCTGTTCATGGCAGCATATCCGGACGAACAAGTACGCTTTTATCCATAAATTTGTTTCTTTTCGTATAAGAGATATTTTTTTAAATCAATATTTTTCTCGATCGAAAGTTATCGACCTGTCGTACAATCTCTTCGAATTCTATGTGTCCTTATCTCTGTGTAGAAAAAAATTCAGGATGAAATGGACGAGCTGTTGGGACAAAAGGTACCAACTCTGGAGGACAGGCTAATCTTAATTCGACTAGAGGCAGCCATTGTGGAAACGCAAAGATTGCGGAGCATAGCACCGGTCGGTATTCCTCATGGGACAATAGAGGTAATAACAGATAAAAAAACGTGATAAAAAACAATAGCAAGTAACAACAGACTGAAACTGTGTCCGCTATTTTCACTCACGCGTTGTAAGCTTTATTCTATCTTTATTGCTTATTATATGCGGAAGAAAAATAGAGTGCTTAGAGCGCGTGAGTGAACGCAACTTGAAAAAAATTAATAAATTATGCGATGCTTCTCCGTGTCGTTTTATTTCATGAAGTCGAACTGACCTAGTTATGATTTAATAACTCAGCACGCGAATATCCAAAATCGGGATGTCTTTACGCTGTTTTTAAGATATTTTATGTATGATGTCTGAAATATATCTTAATAATGTCTTTAAAATGTAGTCCATAATGTGGTCGCAGTTAAATCACAATATTAGGGCTATGATACACAAAAAACTTAAGGTAAGTAGATGTAAGTAGTAAGGAAATCAACATGTTGGATTGGCTACTGCTTACGTTATGACCTTACGAACTTTACAGTGATTGGTCAATTCGCTTACTGCTTATGTTTTACTGCTTAAGTTTTTTTTGTGTGCCATAGCCCTTAAAATGGCAAAGTTATGAGTTGGATCTGTGTTGATACTTATATACGTAGATCGTTTGAAAAGTTTTGAGTCTCAACACGAAGATGACATTACTCATCAAAACCATTCCGGTACTACAATTGTACACGCTTTGAAAGATAAAAATTATGCTGTAAAAATTGTAGCCATTTTGGACGCTCAATTATTGTTTGTCAGGCATTTGTGCCAGTCGATGTCGGTGTTTTTGTAAAAATAGAAAAAAATCAAATATAGTGTCGTGATTAAGTTCTTGCATTTAAAAGGCAATACGTCTGCGCAAATTAAAGCCAAATTGGACACTTTTTATGAGGATTCTGCCCTAGGGATGTGCAATCTCGATTCGATCTTTTAAAGATCAATCTTTTTGCAAAAAAAGATCGATTTTTTAATCGATCCGCCAGGATCCGATTTTAAGGTAGATCAATTTGTGGATATGTCCACCAAGAAGGCCTGACTCGAAGCTTCGGAGTCGGCCGCAGCGTTTCGTCTTGGTCTCACACTACTAGACTCATCAGTAAGGCGATGTAGTGGGGGACTTGCCTTAGACGCCTGGAATAAATCCAGAATGATATTCTATTTAAAGGAAAATTTGCGCGGTGAGGCGCTTACGCGAACCGAGTGAGTCCCGTGGACCTCTAGTGGCGAGTCACCACAAATTCATTTAATAAGAGATCGATCTTCGAAGCGTAGTCATGAAATTGTGTTCATCGACTATATTTTAAAAAAGAAAATTAAAACAACAACAGGAGTGTACTACGCATCATTAATTGACAAACTGAAGACAGAAATTGTGAAAAAACGATCACATTTGAAGAAAAAGAAAGTACTGTTCCATCGAGATAATGCATCGTCTCACACTCCGATAGTCGTCATGACAAATTTCACGAATTGTGGTTCGAATTGGTTGATCATTCACCGTGTTCACCAAATCTGGTCCTCAGCGCCCATTTTTTCTATTTCCCAGACTCAAAGTTTGACTCGGAGGACAAAGATTTTTATCCAATGAGAAAGTCATCGCATCCGTAGAAACCTATTTTGCAGAGCAAGACGCCAACTATTATTTGAATGGGTTAAAGGGGTGGGAGCATTACTGAGAAAAGTGTACCGACTTAAAAAGATTGTGTTGAAAAATAAAACTGAATTTGATCGAAAGATACTTGTTTCTACATTATGCTCAAAACTTTTTAAATGATTCTCGTATATTTTAATCGCAATAAGTTAGAGTCTTATGCGTCATCTACAATATGCAAAGTAAGCTTAGTGTAAGAAATTAGAGTAAGAAATTGACCAATCACAATCGAATGTGAAAAAAATAATCGACTGTGATCAGTCAATTTCTTTAAAATAAAAATTGAAATAAACTCAAAACAATTTGCATTCAGGATACACAAATAGGCGATTACGACATACCGAAAGGTACCATGATTGTTCCATTGCAATGGGCTATTCATACAGATCCTTCGTACTGGCAGGACCCGCTCTCGTTTAAACCCGAGAGATTTATTGCTGAGGACGGAAGCCTCATCAAGCCGAAAGCCTTTCTACCGTATCAAGCAGGTAAGTTTAAGTGGGAAACAAAATCAGAAACGGTCTGATCTCACACGATACTGAACGTACATTGTTGTTTTACACACTGATAGGTAAACGTATGTGCGTCGGTGATGAACTGTCAAAGATGATATTATTTTTATTCGGTGCAAGAATTCTTCATTCAGTCGTTATCTCCGTACCATCCGGCACGCGCCTTGATCTGGAAGGCGAGTGCGGAATTACTCTGGTTCCGAAACCGCACCGCTTTGTTTTTACACCACGAGAATAAGTTTACATATATTTTTAATGATATTGTTTTTGTATGTGTGACATTATTATATACAAAATACATTTGAATTTCATGGAAATATTATACGTATGCTTTATTTTTTGTATATGAATAATATGCATAATTAATAAAAATAATTAATAATACCCTTTATTAACTCTTATTTTAAATATTAATTGTTATTTTTTATGCTTAAATAATATTTTAGTGTTAATTATACCTGTCTATCTAGTTTTATGTACGCTACATGTCTGACTTCCATATGGATAGTACTTGTAACTATTCCTTTATATCCAATGTAAAATTAAGATTATATTTATTATAATATGACGTGTTACGCTTTGAATAATTGATTGTGATTTATGGAGGCGGAAGTTAGTCACTTGATTAAACAGCGAAGAGACATTTTGATCATTCTCAATCAGAAAGTAAGAAAATGCTCATCCTCTGCCTAGTACAGAAATTATTTCCAACATCTGCGGACTACGAATCTTGTAAGACATTGGTGGTAAATTATCTACGGCATTGCTGATAATGGTTTGAAGGAAATCGAAACGTTCAATAAGTTTATATTGATACTCATTTTAAAATTATTGATAATATATTATATGAATTGCGCTTCAATTATCAAGCCGTATTAATGCTCTCGTTGCCCGTTTATTTTATTGTTATTTCAATAATTCTTTTATGATGATTACCTTTTTTTCTTTTACAGATTAGAAAATCCTTTTTCAAAATTAAAGTATACTCATTAATACGTGTCTGTGAGGTAGAGTTTACGCCAAGAATGAAAAAAAAAATGGTTTGAATTGAGATCTTAACCATTTCTTATTCCAATATGGCGTCATTTGCTTGATTTAAAAGCTTTGCAATCTGTACTTACGAAATTGTGGTCCACAAACTAAAAGTTTACACGAACAAACAACGTAGAGTTCTTAGAATTAAACATCTAATTAAAACACTATTATTCTATGAGAATTTATGTATACGTGTGTGTGAAATATTGATGTAGTAATACATAAAGATGTGTCAATATGTCACGTTTTATCGGTAAAACAGCGATCTCGTCGGAGTTCGAACTCTTTACATTAGAATTCCCTTAAACACAATCTGAAACTGTACTGGGGTAGTAATGTCACAAATTAAATTATCAAATAATTGTACGTTGAATGAAGTTAAGGAACAAAACGCGCTTCGATTTTTACGTATGTCTCTCAAGCAATATTAACGAGATCGGTATATATAGCGAACGCTGCAGGATGTCAGATGTGTGTCCGCGTGCCGGTTTATAGCGTGATTGCGAACCACAGCAGTTAAATTTCGACATCGACATGTATCTCAGACCGTCGATATTAAAAAGGTACGCTTTTTATTAAAAACGCGCGGAGTGAGGCGAGTCGCGAGAAAATGTCTACCCTATGGAAATGGAGCGGCACTTATTTGCACGCACCTCGCTCATATTTTACGCATTGGCGCATTTTTACCACCATACGTTCTCAATACGAAGACACAAGCCCGTTAAAATGTCAACCGCGATCACGGGCATTGGGAGATGATTTTACATAAACTGCGCCGTCCCTTCGCTTAATTCGCTCTTTCTCCATGTCTCTCTCTTTCACTCTTCTTTTTCTCGCATCGGATTCATGAAATTCCGTCAGCGTTATGCAACACACATTTTTATCTCACAATGTAGCGGCCTTGGGTGAACTACAAGCGCACCGTTCACCTACTGCCGAAATTGGCTGCGTTTCCTTCTACTATTCCTTGGTTGTCGGGAAAAAAAAAAAAAATTTATTGGAATTTTCTTATATTATTTCCTAGACGTCGACATTGGCTACATTTTCTTCTATTCCCTTGACGCACAAGAATATTGTAGAAAATAAAGAAAACGAAAGTAAGGGCAATAACACACAAAATAAGCATAATATAGCATGGCATCAGACTAACGACTATCCAGCATAAAGTACCATATTGACTTACATAACATGCATTAGTTCTTATAAATCTTTAGCTATGCTACAGTGTACTATCCTAACTTTAAGAATTTTAACATTTTCTCTAAAAGGAAGTGAGAAAAGGTCAAGATTCCGAAATCGAAACGGATAATAAATGTATTGCTTCTTCCTATTTCTCGACAGTATATTCCATGCATTTAAAATATTATTGTGGAATTGCAGTGTGAACACGAATCGCGCAGTAAACATAAAATTACACAATACACATAAAACAGCACTGTAAAGGAATTAATTAATTTTATTTAAATGTCTTGTCAAATTTATTAATCTAATTTAGATTATATCTTTATCGTACAATAAGTTAAACGACATTTTTCATATCGATGACGAGATACACATGGGAATAAATTGATAACTTTTACTAAGAAATATTGTAGGGGTTTTAACGTTTTTTTGGCGATTGTAGTAATGTGTAATATAGTAAACAATTAATACAATAGAAATTTGGAACAAATGTATAAGTATAACTCACACGATGTACGTAAAACTGATGAACGACACAAAACATCAATCAATTCTTACGTGGGACTTTTTGATAGATTATATTGCGATAGTCGAACTTCTATCGGAAGAAAGATGAAGAAATCCAAACGATCCGGGTCATAAAAAGACCCTGCTCTAACATACTTTCAACTTTGTGCTGGGTATAATAAAAAAAAAGAAAATAAACCACAAAACGCCTCTTCCTGCTTCATTGAGCCAAGCCTTGAAGCAACGGTTCTTCACAAACTTTCTGTCTTTACTGTGGCAGGCCAGTTGGCACTCGACCGACTCTTCGGCGAGAAAAGGCCACGAAGTTATATGCCGAAGCGCGAAGTAAAAGGGCCCTTACTGGGGCAGCAAGCGCCACGTGTCGCGGTTGCACACCTGGGACACCAATGCATTTTTCGTATAGTACGATATTGCAGGAAATGTGCTATTATCAATGCACCGTCCCTGGGACGTATTGGCGTGAGCTGACCTTACGTAACTTGTGCGCGGTTTGGGGCCACTCGACTCTCATGTCATTAACCTTACCCGGCGTAATGTACTCAGCGATGATATTTCGTTAGAAACCCAGAACGCGCGAGTTTCTCTTATGTAAGCGCGCGCCAACTGTTCGTCCCTCGTTCTGCGATGCCACATGAATCTTATGTACCGTACGAGACAATACGCGGAATTATTGACAGAGAGAAGCAGTATAAATGATTACTCTAACCTCTGACAGACTTCCGAATTTTTCTTATTCTTCAAATTATAATATTTTTTCAAAAATTCCAAGAATTGTTGAAATTTTCAGCGTAAAAATATCAAATTAATGATTCTAGTTGACAATTGCGCTCAAGTTATGATAAACCATTAATTATAAATATAAAAATCTGAAAAACTCAATTGATATCTAAAATATATGACAAAATACCTTGTTCCTCTTAATTTATTGTTTAAAATTACTTAAGTTTCATAATCATCATTAATATTACAAAAATGTTCCAGCAAAGAACGCGGCATGTTTTTTGTTTGAATTTAACACTAATTTTTACGATTTTCTTTTTAATCTGCATCCAGTTCAAGTAAAGTAATTAGCGAGATTGGAGCCATTCATGAATGACTGTACGAATTGAAAAGTGTCTTACTAAATGCGAGGTTGAACGGATCAGTGGAAGAGAAAGCTAGGCCCAGCTCAATACTCTTTCGTAGGCTCCAAGCAGAAGTCCTCGAAGAATTAAGTAGTGGCAGGAAGGGATGAGCGCGCGATCAGAGCCGAAGGCCGATGATACATGCAGCTGAAGAACCACAAGTTTTTTTTACTCATCCTTAAGAATCCGGTTTCCAAGACTGCAGTTTCCAATAAAGTTTTTCGCGGTAACGATCGATAAAGAATTCAATTTCTTGGAATATTCGGCTGATGAATATTCGATTCGTCATTACAAATGATAATGTATGTTTCCTTGACATATCTAGTCGAAATCTTTAGCGATATTTCTATGCATTTTAAATACTGTTATTTCGTTGCCAAATAATGAAATACGTCTGAATATACTCAAAGGATTATTATCTTGTGCTATATTTTTTTTTTAATTTGCTTAAGAAAGTATTTTAAAATTTTCGAAATGGATGTCAATCCTGATTGAATTTTTTAAAATGAATTCTTATTAATAAGAATAACAATATTTTTAGTGATTGTTGTGATAGGGATGAATAAATCAGGCGGTCATCTCAATTACACATCTTTATTGTGTACAAAAGAAAGAACATGAAACATTTCTCGTTGTCGACAGGTGAACACAATACGGCATTCTGTAATTTACGCATGCTAACGTAAGACTAATTAACGGCTAATAATCGGATACTTAAGCGAGGGAGCTTCGCGCGCGCGGCATCGACCCCGTGGAAGCGGGTCCATCAGTCGTCGAGTACGCTTAAATTTAAGAGTAAGGGTACACATTTTGGACTCGAGCTTCTAATTTTAGGAGCGAGATCGGAACCGTTACTGCGCGGCTCCTCGCCGATTTTATAATAGGATGCACAGCCAGAGATATCTTTGGGAAATCGGATTGGACGACGTCACAATGATTCATCGACCGTACATCCCGGGTCTGTTACAATTCACAGCCTCAGTCCGCGCTCGCACCCGAGTCGTGTGTTAACCAATAAATCTGATCAGTCCGATCGATATTCATTCTAGCATTTCCAAACGTTCACCGCGCTGCGCGATCGTCGAATGGCAGATGTCGCAACAAAATCTCAAAACGAATCTCACGACGACTTTCACGAAAATTGCTCACGGGCCTTGGGCCTGCCCGGATGATTCGTGGATCAACCGACTTCGGAGCGACTTACATTGCACTGCTAGAAAAGTCGTTAGAAAAGTCAACGCGATATTGGCACGAGCGGTCTCGGGTGCAAGAGCAGTCTCGCATTTTTTTCATCGAACGGCACACGATTCGTCGACCAGCTTTATATTTAATATTAAAATTCAGCATCCATAAAACATATACGCGACAATCGAAGCGATATATACTTACTTACGAAAATATACTGTCTTTCTCTCTCTTTCTCTTTCTTTCGCTTACTGTCTTTCTCTGTCTTAATAATGGGATACTATTATTATTGTGAACGAAAGAGGAGCCTCGGATACTGAGCTGCTATCCTCATTCGTTCGCGGAGATCTATGGCGAATCGATGGCGTTCAGGATAGCGATCGGTGTCGTTTAATCGCGTTGGGAGTCGTTAACGTCGACAGCTCTCGACGAGGCACTCTGGTGAGAGTCACGATTTAGTATAGTACAGCAAGATTGGCGTTATTCATTAGGCACGAAATCGGTTGCATTTTAAATAGTTAATATCGTGAACGTAATTCTCAACACGCGTGCAAGACATCCCGTTAAGAGCCACGATTTAGCACAATAAAAAATAAGTAGAATTGACGGTATGGTACGAAATCGCGGTCGAAATTTCGTCCGAAACAGAAATCCTGTCAATCTCGCCGATATAAATTAAACGCGAATAAATAGGAGGTAAGGAGTAAGGGTGAACGGAAACAAAGTAATATTTGCAGAGCAATAAATACTTATGAATGATCGAAGAATTGAAGTGATGAGTTTGATATGAAATGAGAAAATAAAGGGAGAGGAGGCAGTAGCGAGAAATGTTGTAAAATAAGCTCCTTTGTACTCTAACAAATTAAGTAAATTGGCTAATCTCTCTAAAAAAATATTCCTTCTACAGCAAAAAACTAATCTAATAGGCTGCGTTCGGAAACATCACCCGAGTACCTCTATATATCGTTTTATCCTTTTTCGCCCAATGTTAAATAAGTTTTATCGTTGTTTACCCAATGTTAAATAAGGATAAGGTGATATACAGGGGTATCCAGGTGATATTTCGCAGCCCTACTATGGTCTCGGCGCTAATATAAGATGACTACTAAGAATTTTTAACGGGATTGTGATAACGGTATCACAATTAGCAGTTCGATGATAGTCGCGTTTCTACACGATTGACTATTTATTTTCTTGATCAAATTTTTGATCAGCCTGACATTATTTAATCTCGCATGCGTGGTAAAAAAAAAACTTTGGTATGGCGAAACGTCACGAATTAAAAAAAAAAAATTATAAATAGAAATTGGACCAATAATAATAAATTAAATAAGACTCCTATTTTCAGTCAAAGCGGATCTTGATGCTTAATAATATTTATATATAAATTTTTGCAAATTTTCATTTTTTAGTTCTATAAACTGTGCATTAATACGAAATATAAAAAAGATTGTAAATTTATTAAAATCTGGATGTCATCGAAGATAAAAAACGAAATTGTAAAAAGTATTTTGTTAATAATAAAATGATGGATATAATACTCAAAAATGAAATAAAATTACATGAAATCTCGCCATACCAAAGTGACTTAAACAGATTAATTAGGCATGTCGAGTATTGGATATACACTCGAGAACCTGGCTTATACCTAACTTACGTAATTCTTTTACATTAGTAGAATTATTCAGTAACTTTTACAATCTATCAATTTTTTTTTCTTTTTGAAGAATCATTCATTTCAAATTTTATTCATTAAATTGCACTTTAGATGACAGAGAAGGATGGATTATGTCTTGAAAGAATTTTTAATTTCTAAGAATCAGAACAAGCTTTTCTTGTAAACTTAAAATCTCTAAATTGAAAACCGCTCATTTTTAAATTTATGAAAAAATCTACAAATTTTTTAAGGTAGAATAATGTCAAAATTTTTCGCAAATATTTTATTTTACATAAAGATTTTGACGAAACGCAACCATTCATCATTCTCTGATAATTAATGTACAATTAAATAATCTTACGGATCTCCAGCTTGGGATGCGTAGTGGATGGACCTCATAGCGTCAGCACGCGACTTGCAGATTCGCCTCTCCAGCAATAGGAACAAGTACCGTGCCCGTGTTTTAAAGTTCGTCGAGGACTTAATGGCTGCCAATGTTACGCAAGGGTCCATTGACAGAGACCTCGTTGTTGTCCCAGTCTGCCAAGTGCAGATCTCTCTGCAGCAAGCAAACTTTAAAAGGTGTCGGTGATACTGTTACGCCCATGATACCTTCCAGGCTGGGCAATGGGGCACCTTCAGGTAGGCTCAAGTTAAACATGTGCATTAGCGAAGTGAAGAATAGGAAGATCTCCATGCGGGCCAATATTTCACCCAGGCACTTTCGTCTACCGACTCCAAAGGGCATGAAGAAAGGCGGCTGTGACACCTTACCGTCGGCAGAGAGAAAACGACTGGGCCGGAAGGCTTCCGGCTCGTCCCAGAGTTCAGGATCCATATGCACCGCATACAACAACGATACTATGCTGGTACCAGCTGGTATCATATAGTCATTTAACATTACGTCCCTGCAACAATAATTACACTGTTGGAAAATTTGTGTATTTTCGTGAAAAAATCTACGGATTAAAGTTTTTGTGTAAAGTAATGAACACATTTATACGTAAATTTAAAATATGTCTCTTATATTAAATAAGCTTAGTGAATATAAAATGTAAATTATTGAAATGATTTAAAAAATATATTAAAGCAACACAATTTGCAAGTATTTATTAAATGTGTTAAAATAAGAGTTACAAAATAAGAGTGCTGATTTTCTATAACAAGAGTGAGGATGACTGCACGTTTTGACATGATAACGTGTTATGGCTTCTGCATACTAGACGCGGAAACGCTTATCGAGCGGCAAAATGCGACGATCAAGAGACACGATAGTGTCTCGCGCCAAGTGGGCG